CATGTTTAGATTCAGCATATCAAAGAACCCCATTATTCAATTTTTGTTGAAATCAAACAAAGTTTAATTTTGGACCCCAACTTGGATCAACTTGAAAACTGGTCCCATAATCAAAAATCTAAACACATGTTTAGATTCAGCATATCAAAGAACCCTAAAAATTCAATTTTTGTTAAAATCAAACTAAAGTTTAATTTTGGACCCTTTGGACCTTAATGTAGACCAATTTAAAAAACAGGACCCAAAATTAAAAATCTAAATACACGGTTAGATTTGGCATATCAAAGAACCCCAATAATTCAATTTTTGATGAAATCAAACAAAGTTTAATTTTGGACCCTTTTGACCTCAATATGAACCAATTTGATAGCGGGCCCACAAATAAAAAATCTAAATACATGGTAAGATTCAGCATATCAAAGAACCCCATATATTCAATTTTTGTTGAAATCAAACAAAGTTTAATTTTGGACCCCAATTTGGACCAACTTGAAAACTGGGCCAAAAATCTAAAATCTAAATACATGTTTAGATTCAGCATATCAAAGAACCCCATATATTCAATTTTTGTTGAAATCAAACAAAGTTTAATTTTGGACCCAACTTGGACCAACTTGAAAACTGGGCCCATAATCAAAAATCTAAATACATGTTTAGATTCAGCATATCAAAGAACCCCAAGAATTCAATTTTTGTTAAAATCAAACTAAGTTTAATTTTGGACCCTTTGGACCTTAATGTAGACCAATTTAAAAAAACAGGACCCAAAATTAAAAATCTAAATACACGGTTAGATTCAGCATATCAAAGAACCCCAATAATTCAATTTTTGATGAAATCAAACAAAGTTAAATTTTGGACCCTTTGGACCTCAATGTGGACCAATTTAAAAACGGGGCCCAAAATCCAAAAACTTAATACACGGTTAGATTCAGCATATTAAAGAACCCCAAGAATTCAAGAATAAAACCCCATTGAAATTGATCAAGAAATAAGCAATTTATACGAAGTATCTTCTTTTGCACAATACTGTGCAATTGAATATTTCTTGCTATTGCGCAATACTGTACAATTGACAATTTCTTGCTATTGCGCAATATTGTGCTATTGGATATTTCTTGCTATTGCGCAATACTGTGCAATTGAAGATTTCTTGCTATTGCGCAATACTGTGCAATTGAAGATTTCTTGGTATTGTGCAATACTGTGCAATTGAAAATTTCTTGCTATTGCACAATACTTATTATATAATAATTTACACATTCTGTTTGGTGTGTATCTCCTACCATATCATTATAATTTGCTTTTAAATATAAATCAGAAATAACCAACTTAAAATGGAAAATTTTAAAAGAAAAAAAAAAGGAAAAAAAGAAAAAAAAAAAAAAAAAAAATCCCCCCCCCCCCCCCCAAATTTTTTGAACCCCCTTATGGTTCATCACCCCCAAACTCAATCCCAGCCTTCCCTTTGTGGTATGGTACCTTGCAGTACAATTTCAGAGAGATCCATACACTTGAACACAAGTTATTGTCTGGAAACTAGAAAAATGCTTATTTTTGGCCCCTTTTTGGCCCCCAATTCCTAAACGTTTCGGGCAATTACCCCCAAACTCAATTCCAGCTTTCCCTTTGTGATATGGAACCTTGTAGTACAATTTCAGAAATATCCAAACACTTACACACAAGTTATTGTCATGAAACTAGAAAAATGCTTGTTTTTTGCCCCTTTTTTGGCCCCTAATTCCTAAAATTTTGAGGCAATTACCCCCAAAATCAATTACAGCCTTCCCTTTGTGATATGGAACCTTGTGGTACAATGTCAGAGAGATCCATACACTTACACACAAGTTATTGTCTGAAAGTTACAAAAATGCTTATTTTTGGCCCCTTTTTGGCCCCTAATTCCTTAACTGTTGGTACCATAACCCCCAAAATCAATCCCAACCTTCCTTTCGTGGTATTGAACCTTATGGTGAAATTTCATGGAGATCCATTCACTTAAACTAAAGTTAGAGTGCGAAAACCAATGTGTCTTCGGACGACGCCAGACGACGCCGGACGACGACGACGACGACGACGACGACGACGCCAACGTCATACCAATATACGACCAAAAAATTTTTAATTTTTGCGGTCGTATAAAAATTTGAATTGTAATTTCCTGTCGATATGCACATCTACGTAGTATGTCCTTATTATCTGAAAAGGTTTCATGAAATTCTGTTGTGTGGTTTGATAGGAGTTGCGATGACAAAAGGTTGCAGTAGTACATTAAAGCAAATAAGTTCAAAGGGGCGTAACTCCTGGAAAAAAAATTGAATCGTAATTTCCTGTCGATATGCACATCTACGTAGTATGTCCTTATTATCTGAAAAGGTTTCATGAAATTCTGTTGTGTGGTTTGAGAGGAGTTGCGATGACAAAAGGTTGCAGTAGTATATTGGGCAAATAAGTTCAAACGGGTGTTACTCCTGGGAAAAAAATGGAATAGTAATTTCCTGTTGATATGCACAACTACAAAGTATGTCCTTATTATCTGAAAAGGTTTCATGAAATTCTGTTGTGTGGTTTGAGAGGAGTTGCGATGACAAACTGTTGCAGTAGTACATTAAAGTAAATAAGTTCAAAGGGGCGTAACTCCTAGAAAAAAAATTGAATCGTAATTTCCTGTCGATATGCACAACTACATAGTATGTCCTTATTATCTAAAAAGGTTTCGTGAAATTCTGTTGTGTGGTTTGAGAGGAGTTGCGATGACAAGAAATAGGACTGACGGACGGACAGACGGATCAAAAACATTATACCCTCCGTAACTCGTTGCGTGGGGTATAATAACCATACATTGTCTCGAATTATAAATTTTATTTATACAAGGCTCAAAGCCTCGCTTTCTACCTGTTTCTAAGCCTTGTACAAATACAATTTATATTTCAAGACAATGTATGGTTATTCTATATGTACCTCTTCCAATGGTTTAATTTCTTTTTTGCTATTTTGTATCAATTACAAACCACAAAAACAAAATCAACATTTTAACACTCAAATGAAAATTGTAATTGATTGATTGATTGTCTAGAAGCAAATATTAGATACATTTTCAGAACAGGAACAAAGAAATCATAGAATATGCTAAGTAAGCCAAACAGGATGATGAGGACTGCTACTGAAAAATTAGGGCATGCTGGATAGGGGCAGAAGTTTTCCTTGGAAACATGTCAATGACATATAGAAATAAAATTATTGTCACCTTCTATGATGGAAAGCTGACAAACTTTGTTGCTTATAAATTTAGTAATATATAACATTTTTTTCATTTTTCTACCGATGATAAGATAAATATGAATAAAAGACAATGTGGGTATGAAGCAATGAAACAGTAACCCAACAATGTGAAAAAACCAATTCAGACACCAAGGGAACAACAACAGTAGACAAAAGTCTAAACTATCGGTTTGAAATCTCGAAAGCTTGAAATCACAGTGTCTAGACAAGTTATGAATAAATCACCCAGTGTCTAGACAAGTTATGAATAAATCACCCAGTGTTTAGTCAAGTAATGAATAAATCAACCAGTGTCTAGACAAGTTATGAATAAATCACCAAGTGTCTAAGACAAGTTATGAATAAATCATCCAGTGTCTAGAAAAGTTATGAATAAATCACCCAGTGTCTAGACAAGTAATGAATAAATCACCCAGTTTCTGATAGTTATAAATAAATCATCTTGTGTACAGACAAGTTATGAATAATTCACCCAGTGTTTAGTCAAGTAATGAAAAATCATCCAGTGTCTAGACAAGTTATGAATAAATCACCCAGTGTCTATACAAGTTATGAATAAATCGCCCAGTGTCTAGACAAGTAATGAATAAATCACCCAGTGTCTAGACAAGTTATGAATAAATCACCCAGTGTCTAGACAAGTAATGAATAAATCACCCAGTGTCTAGACAAGTTATGAATAAATCACCAAGTGTCTAAGACAAGTTATGAATAAATCATCCAGTGTCTAGAAAAGTTATGAATAAATCACCCAGTGTCTAGACAAGTAATGAATAAATCACCCAGTTTCTGATAGTTATAAATAAATCATCTTGTGTACAGACAAGTTATGAATAATTCACCCAGTGTTTAGTCAAGTAATGAAAAATCATCCAATGTCTAGACAAGTTATGAATAAATCACCCAGTGTCTATACAAGTTATGAATAAATCGCCCAGTGTCTAGACAAGTAATGAATAAATCACCCAGTGTCTAGACAAGTTATGAATAAATCACCCAGTGTCTAGACAAGTAATGAATAAATCACCCAGTGTCTAGACAAGTTATGAATAAATCACCCAGTGTCTAGACAAGTAATGAATAAATCACCCAGTGTCTAGACAAGTTATGAACTACAGGCACAGTTACCCTTTTCTGTTGCTAGAAGAATTATTTATGGTACTAGCTTCAGCAATATGATCTCTACTTGTTGATTAAGCAGCTCTACAATAGTTTTGTTTAGTTATAATAATCTAACCATTAAGGTATAGAACCACTAATACGGGCCCAGTCAGAAAGAACATAGAAGTTAGAAGTACATATTTTAAACAAAATAGTTCCTACGAATAGCTGTTAATTTGTCAATCAGTAAAATATTGGGGTAATTGTGGTATCAAATGAAAGCTTAAGGACTTGGGATCACTTTAGAATCCTTGTTGAAAGTTTATTTTGAATAATAATAAAAAAAAAATAATGAAAATAAAATAGGGCACATTTACCCTGTTGTTCAGATCAGAAGTACTGGTTTTTCAGTGCGCTCTAATATGCAATTTAAGGTATATTGAATTTTTTCAGTACAAGTCAGGATAAGGTATAGTTTTGACATGAAATGACTGCCACTATATTTGAACTTAAGACAAAGTAGCCATTAAAGCTTGAAATTGCAGAATTTAACATAGAAAGCAATAAGGGTATGAATTAGTGGTTTTATTCCTTAAAGATTAAACTTTGTATCTTACCTAATATCAAATCCTAATAAAGAGGCCCTTCTAATGATGGCCCTGACTTGAGCATTAGTAATCTTCCTGGTACTCTCGTTGTTAACTGACACAATATAATCTCCAATCTTAATCCTCCCATCTTTCCCTACAGCACTATTTGTGGCAATGGATTTAACATGGCATCCATTTATTCCTTTGTCTGTTGATTCCACTGTAAGACCTAATTAAAAGAAAACTTTCATCATAATTTTAATTTTTAAATCTTAAAGAAAACGACATGCTATATTATATATTCAATAATTTGTTACAACAATGTCTTATATGAAGTTAACAATTAAGGAACTTTTCGTTTTCTGTTTTGAAAGGCTAAATTAAAAAGTTCATCTTTTATCATAAGTGGATGTATCCTTGATTTTGATATGTTATTAACCTTTGTATTTTCTATAATTCTGTTTTCAGACACATTTTTTCACATACTGTGAATTTATTTTATATGTGGGATACCACTTTTGTCTGGATTCAGTGTGCAAAGGTAAACCTCGAATTAAGACGTTCAACGAAGTACAAAATTTCGATATGTTTTTTTGCCACGAAATCAAATACTCATGAAAATACAATTTTTCCTCAATCCAGGAAAATTAGTATCCATGGGAATATATGAATCCACAGTATATTATATATATATATATATCAGGTATAAACTGCAAAACAATTTCAATGTTTGTGTTGTATCTGTTGAAAACTTCTTTTAAAGTTTTATGATTTAAAATTTGGGTACATAAATGTATTAAAATTTGGTAAAAGGTAATCACATTCTAAACAAATCAGAAAAAATGTATCTAGCTTGTAGCTTGATGGTATATATATATATATTTATATAGAGATCCATTTTGTTACACCTTTTGATCAATTTATTTGACAATCGTCAATGGCAGTCAGCAGGGTTTAAGAACATCAGTGGTTCAACCTGTTAGTCAAATGCGTTTTGTTAAAATATATTTTTTCACTCTTTTGGTCTTTTGGAAAATGTTGTTTGTGCTGTATTCAGACCCCTCTACAACGAAATTTGTTACATGCACACGTATAAAAATTGCGGTTTTTATCCAATGCAATCATAGGTTTGAACGTTGTTTTCAATTTAGACTCATTTATATATATATATATTTGTTTAAGCATATTATAATAAAATAATGTCACATATATATATATATATGTGACATTATTTTATTATAATATGCTTAAACAATTTCTTAACTTTAAGCAAGAGTTGTCACATGAAATATGTCTTACCCATTAAGATTAACTCTATTTATGGTTTTCAGGAATGTTTGATTATTACTTGCATTTTACCTTTGTGTCTATTTTGTGCTAGGTTGAATTGTTGTTTTATTTTGAGAGGCCAAACATTCTTTACTTTATCTAGATACCAAAAGAATCATTCCCTTCTTGAAAATGGTCAAGTTGTTTCAGAGTAAAAGACTTTTATTCAAAAGTCCCGTCAAGGATGTATGATGACAGACACCTATGATGGCAATAGCTTATATTGCCAAACTTGGCTAGATAAGATAATGCTATTGTTCACTAATAATTATATTTATGTTAAATAAAAATCTAGGCAGAGTTGAGAATACAAAGACTGGATGACACAACAATCACAAGGTATACATATAGATCTTTGCTTTATAAAGATAGAATAAAAATTGAACATGATCCCTTATCTAAATTGGTATACAAAGACTGTAATATATATTATTACAATATTATATTAGTGTACAATAGACCTTGTCGCTATTTGGGAATCAGCAACACTTGACCCGAGAATTTGCGACACTTGAACTATTGACGTCATACAAAAATAACTTTTTGTGGCGTCAGACATTTTCTCTTGTGACTTCAAAGTTTTACAGGAACTTCTGTGATATCCAGTTATGGCGGACAATTAGCAATAATGTGTATTAGTACTATAAGAACTAGCAAAACAATTCAGATATTTGTTGACCATACCAAAAAGTAAAATTGAGATGAATTCCTGACAACTTACCTAATTGATCATTTCCTTTTTTAATTTTGATTTGTTTTTCTAATGATACAGGTAATGAATCAGCTCCCCCTGACAGTGTTCTCGTGAGACTTGGCGAGGAAATCGGTGATCTCCCTGGAGACAATGATGATGACGGAGATGCTTGTTTAAGGTCACTTGTGATTGGCTGAGGAGAGGAATGTGGTATAGGTATAGAACCTGCTGCATCTGCTTGGTCTGGACTCTGAAAATACAATTTTATTTTTGACAAAGAAACATTTTATTCCTCCCCAAGGACAGTCAAACTTAAAAAATGATATCCAATGTTACTAAACATTGAAATGTAAAATCTCAAATTTTATAAAGCAATTCTGTCAATTTTCTTGCCATTGTATTGCAAATTGTAGAAAAACTTGCATTGACAAAATTATCTACATATAGAAATGGCATGTGGTGCAAATGTATTCATTTATGGACGACATCCACCCCCTACCTGAAAACAAACAATACTATTAAAGACTAGATTGATTGAACTTTTTAAAAAACAGAGCGTGATGACCCCAGATTATTTCCTCAGAGAAATCCTGGCTATAGCCCTGTAAGAGTTCTTGCCTTGACAAACTTTTGTAATTAACAATATGTCTCCCCACACATGAAGTGGGAGAGACATAGGAAATCCTAAAGACAACTTAACAATGCATAAGGACCTGTTGAATTTGACTAGACTATTGAATTCTTTGATCCTACTTCCACTTCAGAGTTCATTTGCACTTAATACTACATTATTTAATCTTGCCAATGCATTTTCATATCAATTTTAAATCTGCAAGGTTTCTAATGAAAAAACTCTAGAGAATTAATTATGTTATCTACAACACTAGACATTGTATTATATAAAAGTCAAGTACAGCATTAAGAACTCTCAAGCATACTTTTATCCTTGGAAGGCTGGTTTAATAAGTCTGATACACTTTTAAGACACTGGGTCAAAAGAGACAAATATTTAAGAAGATTTTGCATGTCAGCCTAATTCTCTACAATGACACAGATAATAGGGAAAAGAAGAAAATTGAATATTTAAATCTGTACTGACATGCTACAACTGCAAAAAATAAGATTAGAAATAAATGCATGACACAGTATGTTTTTTTATGTTCTTAATATTTTCAATAAGATTGCTGCAGTATTTTTTGGGGCCATTAACATGTCTTCCTAAATTATAATATATCTTTTTTTTAATTTGGGAGGTTTAGCAAACATTCCTTTTCATTTTCAACCTTTTCCTCCAATATCATTCAAAACTTCATAATGTATATCAATTTTTCTGCAACATGACTAATAAACAGCTGCGCCATGAGCGCATGATACGCCCTTCGCTTTTTCAAAGAATAAAGTTCAATAACTTCTCAATGTCATATCAGAAATTTATTAAAAATTAAAGGGAGGTTATCTTAATAGATATAAACCAGTCACCAAAGTTTCATGAAACTGCTCAAAGCACTTTAAAGATATTGTCCGAAAACTTGAAAATCACCCCCTTTTTTTGAATAAAATTCCATTACTCCGAAATGTAAAATCTAAAATTTATAAAAATCGTACGGAGCTTACGTCAATAGATATAAACAATTCACCATATTTTCATGAAACTGCTCAAAGCACTTTAAAGTTATTGTCCGAAAACTGGAAAATCCCCCTCTTTTAATGAATAAAATCCCCTAACTCAGAAACGTATAATCTAAAATTTATAAAAATCAAAATTGATCTCATGTCAATACATTTATAAACAATTCACCAAAGTTTCTTGCAAATTGGTGAAATTGTCCGAAAACTGGAAAATCCCCCTTTTTAATGAATAAAACACAATAACTTGGAAACTTCAAATCTAAAATTTATAAAAAACGAAAGAGATCTCACGTCAATAGATATAAACAATTCGCCAAAATTTCATGCAGATTGGTTAAAGCATTTTTGAGTTATTGTCTGACATGTTGACGACAGACAGACAGATGGACAGACAGACGGAAAGATGGACAACTGTATACCATAATATGTCCTGTAAATGGGCGTATAGAAACAAAAATTGTATATATATATATACATATATGAAATAAAGATTTGTGGTAGGATTGTCAATGAGACACCTATTCACTAGAGACCCAAGGAGGAGGATGTAAAAACTATAGGTATCTGTATGGCCTTCAACAATGAGCAAAACCTATGTTATATACATAAAAAAAGTCTATAGATGTGTGCAAGGCAATCTATTACCTAAAGTTTGATGGTTGAAATCTATATATCTATAAACTATATAAATATATATAAGAATTCTTAAATAAACTGTTATCACAGAGATATGTCTCGCCTTTTTGTAATTTTGATAATGCAAATGTTGAAATTAAAATAGCAATACTTTAACATGTAAGTTATGCAAATATTCAAAGTCGATGAACCATGACTGAAGGTAAATGGCTAAACAATCTCCATGGAATGAGATGTGCCAATGCTAATACAACTGCATACCAAATACCATTGACTTATTATAAGTCGTTCCCTTTAAACAAACCTAAACACAAACATTAACTTGTAAACTATGTAAAAGTTTCAAAGTCAATGAACCATGATCAGGGGTGGGGCTAAATAATCTTCATGGAAACGATAATTGCAAATGCCAATAAATTTGCATACCAAATATCATTGACTTAACATTAGCAGTTCATCTTAAACTGATCTAATCACAAACTAATACATGTAAACTAAGCAAATGTTTCAAAGTAAATAGACCATGACTGAGGAGGCGGGGCTAAATATTCTCCATGGAAATGAGATGTGCTAATGCTTATACAACTGAACACCAATTAACATTGGCCTACCACTAATGGTTCCCCTTGAACTGACCTAATCACAAACTAATACATGTAAACTTAGCAAAATTTTCAAAGTCTATAGACCATGACTAAGGGGGCGGAGCCAAATAATCTCCATGGAAATGAGATATGCCAATACTTATACAACTGCATACCAAATATCATTGACCTACCACTAGTGGTTCCCCATAAATTTACCTAATCACAAACTAATACATGTAAACTATGAAAAGTTTCAAAGTCAATAGACCTTGACTGAGGGGGCGGGGCCAAATAATCTCCATTGTAATGAGATGTGCCAATGCTAATACAACTGCATACCAAATATCATTGACCTACCACAAGTGGTTCACCATGAACTAGACCTAATCACAAACTAATACATTGTTGACGCCGTTGCCGTCGTTGCCGCCGTAAACAGCATACCTATGTCACGCTTTTTGACTCCGTCAAGGCGAGACAAAAAATCTTTAACATCCACGCACAGTGAGGTTTACAAAAAGAAACACTGCTTGAAGCTGCACAGCTCACATAAACAATTTTTTTTCCATATTGGGTCAGTAAGTGTTGGGCAGCTGTGATATTGATATGAATTAAAACATACTAACATAACTAACTACTAATTCTGTGTATAAATAATCAAACAAAGACACTGAAGCATCTATGATCAATACAGAAGGGACATTTATCATTAGTGAATTTATAAGGGACTAATTTCTTTTGAAACTGAATAACAATAGAAATTTTTTCTACAAAGCTTGGAAACTTTTCATCATAACTGCATCCATCTGAATTAATGTATCTGATTTTCCGGCCAATCAAACCCTACATTAATTAACGAGTTAATGTTCTGGAAGTTGACATCTTGACAGCCATCCCTTGTTGCGGTAAAACGATGTCAACATCAAAACTGCATTTTATTAAACAGAATGTCAATAACAGACACAAATTCAATCCAACAAGTCCATCTTTCCCAATAACTAATGGATAAGAAGAAAATCGATAAAGTGTAGATAACTCTGTTTTAATCAGACTGATCTCGTCAAATTAATTAATTAGACATATTACAAGCAAGACTTTTTAAATCAAGATAGCTGTCAACTCTTCATGCTTAAGTTCAAGGACATCAAGCAATACATTATACGCTAATCAAATGTCATTACTTAATAGAAGCTCTGCTCTTTAATATATTATTTAGAGGAAAATATCCTTGACCTATTAGTAACTGAAAAATAACTGGAGTAAGGAGATATCAGGAAAATTTAATTATTGAAAAAATTCAGACAATGCTAATTTGTACAATATAATGGATAAGAAATACATCCTATTACTGATAACGTTAAAGCTCCCTTTAGTGTCATTTGTCAAGTTCTTGCAACTAAATTAATCTTAATGGTAAAGTTGAAGTCATGGCTTTGATTCAAAAGTTCTGCAGACCACATCAGTTTATGATTGACTGTTATGGAATATTTGAGTAACCAAGATGACAACGGATATGTTCCACATGTCATAGCCACAATTCTGACCTATTTCCTTGTTCTAGACAACGACCAATGTGATTTATCACCAGGTAACAAAATGATAGATGTTAAAATTTCTGTAAATTTTGTGTTGCTAAATTTTTGGTTTTCTATGAAGTGTTTTGACGACTGTTATTTGACTGTTCATCTTTTATCTTTTGCTCATGGTATTGTCTGACATTTACATGGTTTTCCTCCTTGGTACATTATCCACTGTTTTATATTCCTCGAATTACTCAATAAATTAAACCTGACTTGGTGTAGTCAAAATGGCTACATTATTAAATCAGTTCTTGATAAAGGGTAATCCTAGTGTCAAGACTAACATTATGTAATACAATTATATGGTGATATTAACGGGAGGATTATAAATCAGTATTTGTTAAATCCATACCACCATAAGTCAAATTTATGCACTAATATGAGAAACTTTCTGCGATGCCTGAATAATCTAAAATTAATGGAATGAGCAATAAAAAGAGGAGGATATAAACTGCCAGCTACCTCTAAAATTATGTTCATCTGAAAACTATTATAGTTTGGAGCATGAACACATGGTTTGGGGTCATCATGATATTTATATACATGAAATACTATGCTCATGCAACATCAAACTTAAATATCACAGACTTCCTCTAAATATAATAAATTGCTTCGCCAGACAAATTGACAATACAACATTTCTTTGTACATAATTTAAAAGCAGTGTAAGGTAGGTAATCCAAACATAACATAGTACTTTTTTTTAATTGTCCATTAACCAGGAAACCCTTGTTTTTCCCCCTTTTTTGCCCCTAATTCCAAAACGGTAACCCCCCAAAGCCAATCCTAACCATCCCTTTGTGGTATGGAAACTTGTG